TTTCTTGAGAAACCCCTTCTCAATTTTATGTAGGCCTTTTTTTTTTTCTTTTACATGTATGATGACAAACTTCTCCTGGAAGACTACTCCATGGACCCATTGGTTTTACTTTGGACCCGGTTTTGTAAATAGAAAAAAAAAATAATGAAATACTCAAATTGACATGCTGGTTTTCGACATATTCTAAATGCAAAGATCTCGTGCAACCATATTATATTACCATGAAAATTAGGTTAAGCAAATGATATTAGCCATGAAGGACTATATATTATCTTAATTATTTAATTATATCCCTAGCTAACATTAAAATAAATGTGGATAGGGGGAGGGGGAGGGGGAGGGGGAGGGGGTGGCATGGGGGTGAGGAACAAAAGTGACCCTTAGTGTACAACTTAGGCCAAATGTCTCTTGCAGTTATCTAAAGTACCAATAACTAATTAACATTTAAAAAAAGACCAATGAAAAAAATTTCCATTTAAGGATGTCTTATAAGGAAGCAAAATCCATTCTTGACACATTTCTTAAACTACTAATTAAAATTAGTTTTGACTTTTGACCTAACTCCACTTGAATTAGTACTCACATCCATGGAAGTCAACGATTTTTATAAGCAAAAAAGGATATAATGTTGTACTATGCATATCTTTTAATATTGTTCATCCACCTTTTCATTGTCTTTAAATAAGATTATTCATTGTGTCGACATTCTAATTGGCTCCAACTTCTTAGTTTTTTCTGTATATATTCCTAAGATCGATGTAATTAAGGTATAAGCGACATTATCTCGAAGTAGAGTCGTCTAGTTAGTAGAGTAGCATAACGTGATATGTAACTGTTCCAACTCGATTCCTCCTGCAAACACTTTTTAGGTCGATCTGATCGCACATGACTTATTACAGTTTGCATATTTCGTGTAGTATCGAACGATAATAAATTTACCTAGTACACATGACCGAGACTTATGATGTAATAATTGTGTAAGATCATCTAACTTTAATAGCACCAATTGGATCCCATCTATTCATTTTATTTTCTTGTTGAAGATAATAATGCAGTTTGGGCTTAAAGAAAATGAAGCACATGTTGATGTTTGTGATTCGACAATTGCGTTTTTATCTGTTTCAGCGATAATTTCTATAATATGTCCGAATTGATCACACACATTATTTATACGTCGTAGTATATGTATACAATATACATGTATGTAAAGAATATAAAATTTAGTAATTAATTCAAGGTTTTGTGCATCACGAACTGCTGTAATCCGCAGGTGAAGGAACTTCGAGCGGTACTCCAGGCGTAGCCTCTAGAATTTTCGAATCTGGTACTTCTTTCGATAACATTTCCTACACAAGAAAGACGGACTAATATATTATAGGCACCACAGATTAGCCAATAATTTTTTATTTTAATTTTTTAAATCGATGTATAACCGTAACTACAATGCTGAAGAACACTTCTCATGCTAAAAAAATATACTGATTTGTACCTTGAAATATTCCATGGTCCCTTCGGCCTTAACAATAACAGAAAGAAGCCCTTTGCCGTCAAGTTCCCCGTTTCTCATTGGCACAACAAAACTAAAAATATAAAATTACAAAACAAAAAAATATATATATATATATATATATATATATATATATATATATATATATATATATATATATATATATATATAACACTCAATATTTCGGAGTACGATATGGAATAAAATATTACATTCAATTTATGGCCACGCCTGCACTAAAACCATATTGTCTGTTGGTGTTTCATCGTAACTAGAAAAGACACCGTGTTTGTTCGCTGCATAAGTAAATGTGTTATGATATGCCTCTTCCCAACCATCCTTACACACATCGAAAGCAATCGTCTTTTGGCCCCACCAAAATCGACAAAAGAAAAGAGTATTTCTCCAAAAGCTGCTTCTAAACGACCAATTGAAATCCTAACCAGAATAAAGAAGACGATACCCAAGATCGTCATTTTTAGACGCACAATGAACTTTTAATGCCGGGGTACCTTCAGGCATACGATTAAAAATTTTAATTACATGCCTCCTCATAGCTTCACTCTCATGACAAAAGTTCAATGATAAAATAATTAAGAAAAATATAGTGATGCTTGGAGGGGACATGATTGAAATAGTGATTTGTAATTTTGTGTGGTTATATTTTTTTCTCCCCCACCATTTTATATTTGCATGAAATTGATAGGAGAATAAATTAAATACTAATTTTAAGAGTCTTGATTTCCCTTGATTAAGATTGTCATTCAACACTAATTAACAACATAATTTATGGAATCTAATTAACTTAATTTTATATAACATATTTTAACAAATTTTGTTCCTTGAAAATGTTTTTTTAGTTGAGATGAAATAATTAAATCAATAATATCATGAATTAATAATACTACAGTAGTAATAAGTATAATATTACTAAATAATATTTAGACCAATACAAAAGGTTAGGGTTTTAAAATATAACTGTATAAAATTAATATTTAAGTTTAATCAATATATTATTTCAAGATATATGTATTCTAGCTATTCTAATTCAACAACTGAGTACATATATAACTATGTAAATTGAATTAAATAAATTGCTTCAATCATCCATACTCATTAATTAAATATTTGACTTGATGAGAGAAATTTGAGACGCGAAATCTTGAAATAATTAATATCTGAATCCAAAAAAAATCATATACTATTAATTTGAAAATGTGAGATTATGATTTATCGAAAGAAAATCACATATTGGGCCAATTTGCTATAGATCCTCTATATATATTCTATGTGATTAAATCCAAGTCAAAATTCTCATTTTTTTTTTTTTTTTAAAAACTAGCCAAATGCACATGCGTTGCATGCGTCGAGTTACTTTTAAAGTGTTTTTTTCCCGTTTTTATTCGATATGTCTTAGAATAATATTATATTAGTATACATCAAAATGTATATATATTTCGATCCGTCATTTAGTATAAAATATAAACTTGATTTCACATTGAAACAGACAAATAACTTCATTCTTACGGTATATATTTACTTGAGTTTGAACACTTTTTTTTGTTGTTTTTATTCCACAACAAAATTTATTAAACATATGCACTTTTATTTACTAATCATATTAAACGTACTTCTCTTTACGATTTCTTTTTGTAAACTCACACTAAAACTATAAGGGCCTATTTGGATGAAATGATTTGATAGTGAAGTTCATATTCATTGAGTTTGTTTTGATTGAGTTATTTGACAAGAGTTTCAAATTCTTAGCTCTCATTATTTGTTAAATTCCTGGGCATTGTAGGGGATTTCAAATTGTTTCCAGCTGAAGTTAGTTTGAGTCTCTCAATCCAAATAAAACTTACATGAAATATTTTGGGGATAAAGTTAACTCATATGGTAAAACACGAGAAATATAATCACATCGAAACATGGATACCAACAAAAAAATTAACTCATGAAATATCCATAGATATAAAGTCTAAAAAAACCTATATTCAAATAATATAAAACAAAAACACAAAATAATTGCATAACTCAAACTAAAAAGTACTTAAAAAAAATATATAAATAAATAAGTTAATTGGCGGCGGATATATGCAAGCCCACAAATTCCTTTCTACAAGACAACCAACGTAAAAATACTAATTTACCAAATTAACACAACTAAAAAAAAGGAAAAAAAAAAAACTCATTTCCTTTGTGCATGTCCAAATAAATAAATCTACAAACGCACCCATTATTTCACAATTTAAGAATCTCCTTCTTCTTCTTCTCCTCCTTCACAAACAACCAAGAACCCTAAACATCAAAACAATCAAATAATCACCAAACATTCCCAATGGAGTTGGAAAACAAGGAGATGGTGGTTTATGAGGGTGAAAAACGTAATAAGATATGTGTTTGCCGTTTATTTTAGATTGTGTGTCGTTTTTTTTTTTTGAAAAAAAAGCCGATACCAAATATCGGTATTCACAGTCCGATTTTTTGAAAAATAATCGGTATACACATGCCGGGTTTTACAAAAAAAAATCGATAATACAATGCCGATTTTTCCAAAAATAATCGTTCCGAATATGCCGACTTTTTCAAAAAAATTGGCGCGTACACGCCGATTTCCCAGATTCGATTTCAATCTCAAAATTTAATCCTAAATCGACCAAAAAATTGCAACCCAACAAAATAAGCATCAATTAATGTTCACCACGCATATTTATCAAGGAATCAATGCTCGTTTCCAAGAAATCAATGCTCGATTAATGTTTTCGAATCTACCAACAAAAAGTTAAGTATAAAAAGTGGTGGATTGGTGGTGGTGGAGGGGTGGTGGTATGCAAGTGGGTTGCATGTCGGCGTCAAGGAGGTGGTGCGGCGGCGGCAGGTCGGACATTTTTTTATTTTGTTTTTTTTTCTTTTCTTGGTTGGTCTTGAACAAGTTAAAAATAGGAATATAGGGTTTGTGTTTGTATTTTGGTAGTATTTGTGGATGAGGGCATATTCGTCCTCTTTGGTCTTGATATAAGAAAATTAGATAAATTTGTGGGCTTGAACTAAGGAACCCTTTTACGTGTGATTGAACGAGTGTTCTAAAAATCGGTCAAAAATCGATTTTTGTTTTTCTTTTAAAATAAAAGTTGGAATTTTAATTAAAAAAAATGAGTTTATGCTTTATTTTGTTTATGTTAACCGTTATTGTTAAAGAACTAATGTTGTATGCCTAATATGTTCAAGAATGAATGTAAATTAAAAAAAAATGCATTTTTATTTATAATTTATAAGGATATTTATGTATTATGATCTTATCTATCTATATATATATATATATATATATATATATATATATATATATATATATATATATATATATATATATATATATATATATATATATATATATATATATATATATATATATATATATATAAAGACAATCCATGGTATTATCTTCTGACACGTGGCAATTTAGGGTTTCTAACCCTAGGGCAATTTTTGTAATATTTTGATAGTCCAAGGGCTTATACGTATTTCCGGGATGTGAGGCGAATCGTCGTTTCTTTTCAAAACTTTTATCGAACTGTTTTTTTCTTGCCTAACTCCTCGTCTCTCGCAAAAGGCAGTTCAATTCTTTCAATTGTTTCGCTTCTGAAATCAAATTGGACAATTTTTGAATGGGGATCGAAGAAAAAAATGCATACCCTGATACCCATTTACCCATACTTTTCTCACCACTTCTTCTCCACATTTATCCGATAAAATAATTCTGCAAATCTATGGGACAATATTTTCTCTTGGGTGTTTTCTTGCATTCTTTTATTAGTCTTCTAACATAACCATTTATACTAATTCCCATTATGCATTTTATATGGATTTTTCCTTTTTATTTTCTGAATGCTTTACTTCTTCTATACAGGTATTACACTGTTGTTTATTTGCACATGTTGATTTATATGCCTATAGAAATCAGTTGATCTAAGTTGTAACAGTTAAGTTGTGGAAATAGTATTCAGTTACAACTGTAAATCTTGTGTTGGCACAGTTATACTCTACTAAAAGTAAATAAACAGAACACAAGAATTAATGTGGTTCAGACACAATTGTGCCCTACATCCACGTGGACCTGCAAACACGATTTCACTAGTTCAGATTTACAGTGTACATTAATAGGACTTATTAAAAACACTAAAGACTCCCTCTTTATGTAATATGCCGTTCTTGTACACAACTCCAACTTCGTGTTTCTTCCAACAGCAGCTCCACACCGCGTGCCTAGAACTCCTTTCTGACCTGAACTCCCTTCAGTGACGCGGTTGATCTCCCAAGAGATCTATACAGCTAATCTGTATATGTTGACACATCCAACGATGGCACAGTTCTGTTCAGCAGAACGTTTCACCGATTCTTCAAAACAACGGAGTGATTTTTCTCCCAACAAAAGTGTCACGGTCTTTGTGAGGTGAGGAGCCTTATATAGGCATGAGATCGGCCTCCAAAGACCTGTCTTCCAAAGGAACCGAATAACTAGGAAACAGAATCCTAGTCAATATCTAGTTCTAATCTAGATAACTATAAAAGATTCCTAACAAGAGTAAAGTACAAGGAAATAAATCTAAGTCCTAAAGTATTACAAAGGTAGGACTCTAAATTTCCAAAATAAACATGGGAACAAATCTTTAGCCAATCTTTACTTCCCAAGTGAGGCGGATTTCTTCCTTGGTGGAAATCTGGCGCCAACAATCTCCTCCTTTGGCATAGATTTGGTCAGAACCCATGTTTAACAAGAACTCCTCCTGTAGATAAGACATAAAGAGAAAAGACTCCCCCTGCATAACATATTGTTAGCACATAACATCACATACTGTTAGCACAATAGCAGTGCTACATAAGTATTTCCTGCAGTGAGACAAATAAGAGAGATATATAGTATCACTCCAAAATTAACTCAAAAATAGTTATCAATGCAGATAAAAAGATAACAAATAGAGTCTAAGATGCAGAAAAAAGAAAGGAATACTAGCTATTACAAACCCAAAAGTAATAGCAGATAGTTTTAAGATAAAAGACATAAAAATGCAAA